ATTTGTTTGATACAAATGAATGTTCTGTAACTGAATGTCAGTTTGTCAGTGATCAGAGACACTAGGTAGTTCTGGCTGTCCCTGCTATAGAGAGCTCAAGTAGAAAACCTTTGACAGTTTAAAAATCACCCTGCAAGATCTTCACCTCAGAATTTCCTTGGAAGTTACTAATGTCTGCAGAAAATGCTTACAATAAAATTAAATCTCTTTTGGAATAGAGGATTATCTTGGGGGTTGGGACACCAATGATGGGTTTTCTAGATTTCTAAAAGAATCTTATTTAGTCATCTTTATTACCCACCCAAACGTTAATAGTTTAGGATTTTGTTTTGTTTTTTTTTTTAATAAGAAAATGCTTAATCAGGTTCTGTATTGTGACCTGTTGAAATAGAACTCTGCACTGACTATGTAGCTGATGAATAGGCTTCTTGTTTTGCTTCTGTTACAAGCACTTCAACAAGCGTACAACTGACTTAGCACATAGAAACAATAGGTGATGAAGCTCTAACAGTGTTTTATGTGTGTTACTGCAACAGTGGCAAGATAAAGGTATTTGTTGTTGTTGTTTAGCTTGGTGTTATGACCTATACTGATGCGGGGAAAGTTAGCCCTGAAACTCAATCTGCAATTGAACAGGAAGTAAGAACACTTCTACGGGTAAGGTTCTCTCCTCCTCCACTCTGATACATTCATTTGGTAAATGTGTATTGGTGAAAATAGGTGGATGAAAGCATTCACACCTACTTAATGTAGGTGCAAGTTTAAATCCCTGCATATGAAAACTTCTTGGTTATTGTCATGGACAAGTGATGAGAAACAAGCTGATGGTGTTGTGTTCTTTAATATGCTCTTGAAGACTTCCTCTTATGTTTGGTCAGGATTTGTATTTTTCCTATTCAGTTCATAGGAAAAAAAAATACAGCCATAAAATATTTTAGAACAGGTGAGAATGTTTTTTGTTACTTCCACATTTCATAACTTGCAGCTAGATGGTTTGGTATAGAATCACAGGAGTGGCCATACTGGATCAGAGAGTTGCCTTTTCCAATAGCCTGTTCCTTGCAGTGGTCAGTACCAGCTGCTTGGGGAAGTTTGTAACATCAATAACCACAGAACTTCCAGATGGCTGTTCTGGTAATCTGAGCTGGTACAGGCAGGAGAACTGTTTCTTCATAACATTTAAATTAGTAACACCTTTTTGCTGTAGCTGTTTTTGAGCTGACTTGGTCACTTAAGAACCATCTATGTAGAACTAGAAGTTAAAGTTGAAGCTGGCAGTGCTGGCAGCATGCATCCCCTTGCAGCAACTAGTAACTTGTTGGGTATCTTCCATCTTTCTAAAAGCACATATTAATACTTTGAGCGTTTCATAAACTTAAAAATTAGAGTCTTTGAGGAACATGCCTTGAATAACACTGCTTATAATGTAAAATCAAATACATCAATTGGCAAGTTTTGAAATCTAGTAAGTCTTTTCTAAGTCATACGTACTAAGGTTTTTCTCAGGATTTTCTTTTTAGTCCCTACCTCTGCAAAATGCAAAGGTGGCACCAAGTGTGGTGTTGTTTTTTATTTGTTGTTTGGGTTTTTTGATTTATGCCAGCTAGATTTTAAATCTTTGAGAGAAGAGCTGTGCTAGCTATGAATGTATGCACTTCAGATGCTTGCTTCAAGCTGGAAATGATGTTTAAAGTGAAATCTTGCAGTTCTTTTTGTTCTAAACTCATAATCTCCTTCCACCTTTTTTTTGCCTCCCCTAATACTAGGACTCATATGAGCGAGCAAAGAACATCCTGAAGACCCATGCAAAAGAACACAAGAATTTAGCAGAAGCTTTATTGAAATATGAGACTTTGGATGCCAAAGAAATCCAAATTGTTCTAGAGGGAAAAAAACTAGAAGTAAGATGATAACTTCTGGGATGCTGGTAATTTGAAGAATGTACATCTAGCAGTGCAGTAGTCTTACGCAGCATAGAGCCTTTTTTTCCCTTCCTGATGTGTATGGCATTAGCGACTTTTTAATATTCTGTCTCTTGTGAGCTTCTGTTACTCATCTGTTTGTTGTGTCTCATCAAAATAAGGCACACAAAATAAAGCAAGTTTCTCATCCTCTGGTCCTGCTACTCTTCCCACAATAAGTTATTCAGGAGGATAAAACTCAGGGTTGAATTCAGTGTTCTGGTTCAGTCAAATGTGTTGAAGCTGAGAATAAAAACATGCAGATACACTGGTGTGTTTTGGCAGAGCTGCTTGGGTTATGCTGCTGCGTGTGTGTTTGAAGTGATACCCCACAATACATGCTGTGTAATGTTTGTGTGACAGATTGACAGATTGATTCGTTAACTAGTCTGTCTAATGCTCATACTCTGAAGCTAGAGGTCACTTTTAAAGACTTCTTAGGCAGCAAAGCATTGACTAAGAGTGAAGCGGCTACATAGTGCATCTCTGTTAAAGGGAAGTGTTGAAACTTCATGTTAGACAACCAGTATGATTGTGTTTTCAGTGCTCTTGGGGTTAAAATACACACATGTATGGCAGGGAGAGAATCTGTAATGCAAAATCAACAGGCTAAATGTGGCTAAGCCTCTCTGGACCATGTTTTGGGCAGAACCATGGCAGGGATAAGAGAAATACCTGTGACCTCTGATGTGCTGCTGACAAGAGTCTTAGAGTTTTTATTACTGCGGTAAATGGATAACAGTGCTTTGATGACAGTGCTTTTACACTGCTGGAGAGTCTACAGAACTAAATTCTGCTAATACTATGTATGGGCGTTTGATAATCCAACAGATGATTTCTTCCAAGGGGGTAATATTGCTCACTGAAGAGTAGTTCGGAAAATGTTTGGAGCATGTGTTGTTTCAAATAACATTCCCAGTTCTGTTCTATAGTAGAGGTAGGGGAAAAAACCTTGTCTTTCAACCCTTACAGAAACCTCTGGAACTCCTGAGATGGTAACAAAAAGGTTTTGAGAACAAGCAGTTTCCAATCAAGTGGAAGTAATTGCGAACAATCATATGCCAGTATTATTCTGGTATCATGGAACTGGTTTTTAGGAATAACACATCTTGATCATAATCCTTCTGCACAGTTAATTGTAGACTTCTGTTGCAGAAAGGGCCTTTATGAGTGTACTGATGTTGGAGGTTACTATATTGAACATTAAAATAGTTGGGCTGGTGCCAATAAATGTGAATGGAAATTGGTAGCTACACTTAAAACTAGAAGTAATAGTATTTTACAGTTTTCTGAGTGTAATGCTTGATTATAACCTAGTCTTTTAGTAAAAGCACATGCTTTTTTTCCCCCCTTCAAAACCAGGATGACTTTCTATTTGCCTATTTTTGTCAGCTTACTAGTGACATCCCAGTGCAGTGTGGGAGAACTTCTGAATGTTATAAACCAGTATACCAAATGTGTAGGCTGACTAGTTACAGTTGTACATGTATTTTAGGATTATGCCAACAAATATACTGCAAATTTTTCATCTGTTTTTGAAGTAATAAAGGTTAATTTTAATTATGCATATTGGTTTTCTTTTTATTCCCTGTAAATGGCTATAAAATGTAATACTAAGTTCCCTACTGTGTAAATTGAGGTGTATGAAACATATGAACTTGTAAATAAATTTGAGAATGACAGCCAAATTGCACTTTCTCTGCTTAGATTTCTAGGGGATGTTCTCCCTAGGAATTCAAATCTTTTTTCAATTGCTGCTTCAGTAATGGGACTTGAATAGGACCTTTCCAGCTAAATAATGTGAATCTGCATTTAGAAACAAAAGTGAAAAAACTTTTCACTTGTGAAGTCCCCAAAACCTGTAGTGGATGATCTGGTTGAGGTGGAAGTCAGTGATGTCTAACTTGCATATAGCAAGAAGCTTTTGAAGGAGAAAAATAAGTTAGACCTCACTAATGCACCTACATGGTTCTGTGCATGTGTTGTCTGTGGAGTTTCAAAGAAACTTACCTATTTTAGGCACTGGTGTTCTCAGGTGCATCCAGGAGCTGAAGAGAAGTTTGTGGAGAACTGTCCTCCCATGAGAGGGACTGACCCTGTGTTGGAGCAGGGGAAGAGTGTGAAGAGTTCTCTTCTGAGAAGGAAGGAGCAGCAGAGTCATCATGAACTGAGCACAGCCCCCATTCCCTCTGCACTGATGGGGGTGGTGGTGGTGGTGCAGGAGGTAGAGAATTGGAAGTAAGTTGGAAATGTAATGCTGCTGACTGTAATGCTGACTACCTCTTACAGTCTTAGCTCTTACTCAGTGAGAGCTCCTCTGTTCTATCGACATGTCACAGGATGGGCTGTCACTGGTGAGCACAGTAGAGTTTATGAAGCTTAAACCTGAATTGCTTTTCCACTTTGTCCTCAGTAAGGGTGTGATTCTCTATTGTGCATCCTTGCCTGGTCATGCCATGGCACAGCTTCTGCTGTCCTAGTCACCCAGGAGGTTCACACAAGTTCAATCACCTACAGTGCATCTCTGCAAACGCAGTTAACAGCCGTGACACACGACCTTCTTAAAGCTACATGATCTTTAATCTTAGTTAGAAAACAGGACGCCAAGAAAAGAAGGATTTGAATAGAAGATGAGTTTTTCTTCCCTAGGGTTTCTTGTGCTGCATTAGAATCCTATGAAGGGGACTTTGTCTCCTGAAAGCTTATGAGTCATTGCAGTCCAAGGCAGTTCTGACCTCTTGTAATCTTGCTGTAAAACCTCCATGTCTGAGTCTCCCCTCTTGGGGGGAAATTGTCTCCAGGCTCAGTGCTGGTCTGAGTTACAGCATCAAAGTAACCAGGCAGGAAATGCAAACCTGTGGGAGTTGTTATTTCCCCCCCTGTGTGCATTTCCTGACAAACCTGTAACATAATCCATGAAGCTGTTGCAGTGATCAGTGTTTAGAATAATTTTATACATTTTGCAGCATTAAGGTGTTAGTCAAGCACACACAACAATGAGAGACGCAAATGCATTCTCTGTGTTTTCTTCTGTTTCTCTTGCCTGGCTTTTCTGAAGCCTTTGCTTCCCTGGTGTATTTATTTTTCTGTCCTTCATTTTCTCCATTCTCTTCTCTGAAAGTCACTGCATTTTATTCTACGCATAATAAATATACGTATTTCACATTTACAAATGATTTGTTTACATTTACATTGAATTAATATAAATATTTCACTTTTAACTTGGTCACGGACAATCTTCATTATCTCTATACCTAGGCACTTCTGTTTTAGATCTGGTATTGTGGGGTGATCTGCCAAAGTTTCCAAAAAAGGTTAAAAACACTGGAATAAAAACAAGACCGTGAAGAGCCCCAAACAAAATAACAAGGAACATGATCTTGAAAAATGTCCTAAAGATGTAGGTTTTTGCTGCAGCCAGGACAACTACTCCTAATATAGTAGAAACTGCACCTTGTAATACTGGGTAACCTAGCAGGGACAGAGCGTCAATTGCCCTGTTGTTGGCTGATGACTCTCTACTCACAACGAAGGCATAGGAAACATGAGCAGAAAAATCCACTGAAAACCCTATACAAATGACCAGGTTGATCATGGATATGGAATCTAGATTGACGTTCCAAAATGTCATGAAGCCAGCAACACCAACTATAACAGAAGCTATAGCAAAAGTCACCCACAAGCAACACAATGGGTTGGGAATAAGCAGAAGGGAGACAAGAAGCATTGCCCCAGCAGCAACAATGACATTCTGGATGGTGTTCTGCACTATTACCAGGTACTGATCATAGTAGATGAATGCTGGGTGGTACACTATTAATGGAATACTGCACTTCTCGGCTGTCTCTCTCAACTGAGTTACAAGATTCTTCTCATCGATGGCTGAGGTCACATTCACCGTCTGGATGAAGAAACGTGAAGCTTCTATTTTATCGCGAGTCTTGTCAATGTCCCACTCAAAAGTCTGAACATACTGGAACAGTTCAGGTAAGTTACTAATGAAGATATCCTTATCATTTATATTTAGTGACTGTTGTTTGGCATATTCTGTGTATGCCCTTAGCCATGACTCTGAAAAATTCTTATCTACATAGGAAATGCCCTCTAAATCCTGCATGCAGTTCTCAATGCCAAGACGAACAGTCTCATTCCAGTAATCTACACTTTCAGTAACAACCACCATGACCCTGGGCCCATATGCTGAGAAGTATTTGTCGTTGTCGTCATAGTATGGAATAACGTAAGATTCATCATTTGCCAGGTTTCGAAGATCGATACCTTCCCTGATCTGAGTACATCCATAAATGCTGCCACCCAAATACGCTCCGTACAGCAATACCACAAGTGGCTTGATCCATTTATTTGTTAAAAAAGGGCCATAATACTTTGTAAAGAACACGCTCATTGGGTGTTCACTTTCTGGCTGAGATGACTGCCTAGAGCAGTTGCCTATACAGCAAGCATTGTATAGGCAGGACTTCTCAGCCTGGTCTTTACCTACTCCCACAGGCATACAAGTTAGCCAGTGACGGTTTCCTTGCTCCCTTTTATGATTTAATACAGTAATTGCCCCAAAGAAGGTCATGGTATATATATAGCAGAAGACAAAGGCAGTGCCTGTATAGAGGCAAAATGATCTCACAGATGGGAAGGCAGTCCAGGTGCCAATGAAGAAGGCCAAAACATCTGTGAGGGTGGTGATGGTCACAGAAAGTGCTGCTTCTGAGTAGGTATCAGCCAGCAGAGATTTAACATCGGATTTATCTTTCTTTCTTAAACTTTGTTCCCAGGAAGCGATCATGATGAACATGTCATCAACACCAACTCCTGCAAGAGCAGAAAATGTTAACGCTGCTTTGTGAATGGCAACCTCCACTAACATCCAACACAAGTACAAAATTATTCACACTTAAATCTGCATAAAATTTTGGAAAAGAAGGCTAGCCTATTGACATTGCTGTAGTGCTGAAGCAGGGGGAAAAATCCTTTGTGTGTAGCTGAATTTATTACATTTCAGAAACTCCTGGTGGCCTGATGTGTGTTGATCCTTCACCGTAGTCTGCTGAAGGACTGAGCACACCTAGTCCAGCTCTGATACGTGTGTTATACCTGCTGCCCAGGTGTCCAGTGATGCAGATTTCAATGAATCCTTTATTCTGATGCTCAACTGTCCTCATCACTGGAAGTGTTCCCCATTACCCCTGGAATCTTTTTTATCACTATAACAAATCAGATAATTTTTTTCTCTGCCTTCAGCAGACAGGGAGGACAGTTGCTACCATATGGAAGAACAGTGATCCCAGTTTTCCAGTGGTTCATTTATTCATGCTTTCTGCTCTCCACTTGCCTTCTCTCCAGTTTATCTTTGAGCCTTTATTCATGATTTATTATTCATTTGTCTACACATTTATACTGCTGTGCTCACATAGAGTCCTGGGAAATCCTGCCTGGAAGACTGGATCCTGGGCTAGGGTTTTTGCTAAGACACAAGAGTAAGTCAGCTGCAGCTCAAAAAGGAAGAGCCAATGTGCTTCTCTCAGCCCTGCTAGCACTCAAGATTTTAATCATAGACCTCTCAATATTTTGCCAATGTTGCTCTATCAAGGGCCCTTGTATTCCCTGAAAATTAATCACACAAAAAAAGTGAGACCACATGAACAGAGGAACAAGCATAGATGATATAGCTAAGCATAAAAGAATAAATGAAGTCACTATGTGCTGCCTGAACAGGCAATTGCCAGTAGATATACAAAGATTAATTAGGCAGCAAGTCAAAAGGTACAGCTGGATGGCAGCAAGCAGGCTGCTTCCAGAAAGCAGGCAGGCTTCAAAGCAATTCATCTAAAGTACTGATAATTTGTTTGCTTTAGCGCAAGGAAAAGTCTGCATGTTAGTTACAAAGATCCGAAGAGACTGGCGTAAGCCCTTTCCCAAGTATACAAAAGGGTCTTTCTGAAGCTTCTGCAATTGATAAGCAAACAAAAGCAAATACAAAATGCATTTGATTTACGCAGGAAACAAAGAAATGTCATGCGTCATCCCAAGGAGCATTTGCATTAGACATCTAGTATGATGCAGAGCCTCTATCATCCCAGGAGTTCCATGTGCTTTCCTCTGCTTGAGACCAAGACCAAGAAAATATCATACGCCTTTATCATATAGGAGACCAGTTAAGGATTTTAAAAGCAGTAATTTATTTTCAGCAACATTATCCAATGTTATTTGGAAAGTTCAGCACTGGCTGTCAAGCAGTCTGTGCAAATGTGATGTGATGATACTTCCTTGCATTGGGAAGCTGGTGACATGAATGGTGCATCACTTCAGCTGCGTAGCTAAATGAGACCATTAAGTACATAGTCATTGTATTGCAGAGGAAATTTCACATCTTAACAAAACAAAATGGTTTTCTTATTTAAAATTACAAAGTCCTGCTCATTGCTTAAGCCATATTCAGGCCCAAGTTTATCCCACCAAAGACTACACTCTAAAAATGGGATACAAAGACTCATGGTAACTTATTCCCCATATTCCCTTCATAATACAGGTACTGGGTTAAGTCAGTTCTAGTTTAGCACGAGCTGCATGCTGGCCACACGTTCATGGTGCTGCTGTTGAGCTATCCTGAGGCTGAGTAACAGTAGAGAATTAGGAAGTTCTCACTGTACTGCAAAAAGAGGTGGCCAGGGGGTGAATGGTTTGGGGAAGACCTCTGCACCTGCTTAAACTTCTGACAAATTCAGCAGCCCCATAGAATGGTATTACAACAAACTGGTTCAGAGTAGACAAACTTATCCAGCATAAGTACTGGAGAGTGTGAGGTGTCCCTGCCCATGTCAGGGGGGTTGGAATCTGGTGATCTTAAGGTCCTTTCCAACCCTAACTATTCTATGATTCTATGAAATACTTACAGTACACCTACAGAAAACAGCCGTGACAGAACCTCACCTCATGTATTAGCACTAGCTAAATAACTAATCGTCGTAGCTAAATTACCAGGGATACTAGAGCAACGCCAGAAGTGCTAACCTTACCACCCTCTCATTTGTAGCTTTCATGCTGTAGCAGTGGGACTAGAGCAGGCATCAGTTTTGGGGAAGAGCGGCCCTTCTGCCGTAGCCCAGCTGCAGTCCCAGAGCGGGTACGCTGAACTGAGCAGTGCCCCTGCCTGCAGGAGCTGAGCGTCTCCTCCCCTCACTGCGGGACGGAGCTGCATACGACCTGATGCTCACATTAAGTAAAAGCCATACCGCCAGGTTGTTTTAACTCTGCTTTAGTCTTTATATCTGAATGTGACTCACTTTTTCTACTTACCTAGAATAAGAAATGGTGCGTTCGCTACTGTGATCACAAATGGCACTCCACAGAAGAGCAGCAATCCAAAGCTGCTTAATACAGCTAAACCTGAAGAAATCACTCCAAAGCATGCAAGCCAGACATTATTTCTTATACAGCTCAGTCTGAAAATATTTTAAGGAATATATTAGTTACATGTCAAATATTTCACCAAGCTACCTGTCATGACAAGTGCAGAGATATCAGTGATACCCTTTATGTGTAGAGAACTCTTGATAAAAGCTGCTAGGAGGTGTATTGAATAAGATTAACTTATGCAGGAGTTGCTAAATACATTATTAACGCTGGCCAGTTATGTAGATAAGTGTAAAGATGTGTACCAGTCTTTGCATCAGAAACAAGAGAGCTGGCAAAGGAAGATATGAAAGCTCTTCCTGTTAGAGGTCAGATTTAGGGTGACCCAAAAAAATTATAAGTTTTAGAAGCTGCGTCCTTTTGCATGGGTTCTTGGTGTGGCATCACTGTAGTACAGAAGCATATCCCAGGCAGAAAGTGCTGTGTAGAGAATCTTTCTTTTCAGACAGCCATTTGCTAAGACACTTCCAAGAACTGGCTCAAGGATTCCTCAAGAAATGCTCCCAGTGGGAAACTACACACCACACTGAGGGGGTAAAGGGTTACTTCTTGCCTGGTCAGTAATGTTTTCCAGGCTGTACCATTTCTGAGTTGTAAGAGACTCTCACTTCCAAGGCAAGAAGCGTGTGTTGGCAGAACCACCCTTACTCTGTCTACGCTCACAAATGGCCGTGTGTGAAGCAGTTGATACCCAGAAATCATACAACCTAAGGGCATGATGCTTGATGCAAGCACTAAACCAATAAGCCCACCCTCTGAGTACTTTCTTTCTCAAGCACAGCCGTAGGGTTGTCAAATGTGCAATGGTTCACCCTCCACCAGCACAAAGAAGGGGCAAGCTGAGTTCTCTGTGAGGAGCAGCTAAAGGCTCAGACTCTCCTAGCAAGCAGAATACCTAAAGCTGTACCCAGACTTGCAGCAATCTATGAAGCTTGTGCTCATTCAGCTGTACTCTGAGCTGTACAACTCATTCAGCTGTACAACTGAGCAGGTGGCAGAAAAAGTGTGCAAACAGATCTTAACATGGCATACTTCCTTCTCCCCCTCCCCTGTGTCCTTCCCCTTTTTAACTGACCCTTGTGCGCAGGATGAGGATAGAAGCTATGAAAGTAGAAGAACAACTTTAGGAGCAGCACGACTTATTTCTTCCCGCCCCCTCAGATGACAACTTTTCTGCATCTGTACGGTGAATGTCTCCACATGCCAAGTTGAGTTGTTAAGTTTTATCCAACAGAAGTGCTTGTGCAGATTCTGCCACCGCCAGGATGGCCAGATCATGCTGTTGTACCCTCCCTGCACAGGGTAAAGTAGAACCTGGTCGTAATTCAAACTGTTTACTTTGGCACAGCGTTTTTCAGTGCCAAAGCTGCAGCACCTCAGGTCTCTTCAAAAGGTAAAGTGTAGGGGGGGTCAATTTAAATAGTTCCCAAACCATTACTACAAAAAGGATTCTTATGAGGTGGGGACTACAGAAATGACTGATAGCTTCTGACAACAGACAAATGGGAGAAGGACTTTTTACAAGGGCATGTAGTGACAGTACAAGGGGGAATGGGTTTAACCTGAAAGAAGAGGGATTTATATTAGACATTGGAAAAAAAAATCTTCACTGTGAGGGGTGGTGAGACATTGGAATATCCTTAGCTTAAAAGGTATTTTACCTTAGGCAGGAGACAACTGAAAAAGTTATTGTCAAGAAATACGTTATGGAGATGAGTGGGATCACACTCTTGGTGTTTCCCTCAAACTCCATTTGTCTGGACAGCGAGGTGAAGTAAGTCACCTGTTAAAACAACAAGGAAAGAAAAGATGAAGCACTTCTACGCTCTTTCTTGGTCTATACACACATGCACAGGCAACACTAAACATCGTGCTGGCACTCAGGCTCTCGCAACGTACACGCGATCCTCGCTCTTCCCTCCACCCTCTCCTTTCCTTTCCGACGACGGGGCTCCCGGGGCACTTCTGATCTCGGCGGTCCCTCACTCCTGTACCCTCCCCTTTGCTACCTGAATGGAGGTGAAGTTCATCGCCGCCAGGTCCGACGGGGCGTCCTGCAAGAAGTCTTCCAGCCACCTCCTGCTCTTCGCCGCCTCGGGGCCGTCCTCCCGCAGGTAATACACCAGCTTCAGCGCCCTCGCCGACAGCACCCGCCCGCTGGGGTCCGTCCGCACGCCGCCCAGCGCAGTGCCCAGGAAGAACGGGCCCCTCCCGGGGAAGATGAGCTCCCCCAGGTCGGCCGCCTCCACGTCGCCCAGCATCGGCAGCAGCGGGTTGGGGCTGACGCAGACGCCGTTGATGCGGGCGCAGACTTGCTCGTAGCCGCGGTCGCGCACCGCCTTGTCCAGCTTCTGCACATCGTGCCGCTCCGTCGCGTCCAGCACCGAGCTCTCGTCCGCCGCCACAGCGATGAGGGCGGCGTAGGCACCCTCGGTGGGCAGCTGCTGGATGGAGAACAGCTCCGAGTCGTTCGTGGGGAAGTGCTGCAGCACGAAATCGCGCTCAGCCTTGGCGGGTCCCCCGGTCGGTGTGAACTGCCCCTCGATGTCGTTTGCCTGCCGCTGCTGTAAGAAGAGGAAGCCGGAGCCCAGCCCGCCAGACAGCAGCAGCGGCACCAGCACGAAGGGCCAGGGGCAGGCAGCCACGCCGCTCCCCAGCCCTTCGAAAAGCCGCCTCAGCGGCCGCTCCAAGCAGTTAGTGTTGTGGTAGGAGCAGCCCTCCCCGGGATGCTGCGGCCCCGCCATGGGCCAGACGGGGGCTCGGATTACTGCGCGCCTCACGCCGGGGCCCCGCGCTGAGGTCTCCTGCTGCGAGGTGTCCTGCAGCGCCGCTGCAGAGCCGCCTTCTGCCCGACGGGGCCGCGGAGGCAATGAACGTTTCTCAGCGGCGCGGCCGGGGCCGTCCCCTCTCTGACTCACAGGGTACTCCGTCGCCTCCCCGGGGCGGGCATGCGGGGACGCGATGCTCCCCCCGCAGCGCCGAGGCCCGGGCTCGGGTCTCCGACGGGCATGCCCCTCAGCGGGCTCGGTACCGGTACAGTGCCGCGGTTCTGCCGCCGCGCAGGGCCGCTCCTGTGGGGCAGGTTGCGGGTACTGAGCTGCTGTGCGCGGCCCTGCACCGTGACTTCATCCTCCAAACTTATATAACTGAGTCAGAGAACCATGGAATGGTTTGGGTTGAAAGGAACCTTAAAGATCATCTAGTTCCACCCCTCTTGTTACAGGCAGGGACCTTCCGCTAGACCAGGTTGCTCAAAGCCCTTTTCTTTACTGTTTTCCCCGAATCTGCTGCAGTCACTGCTTCATAGAATCATATAATCTTGGGGGTTGAAAGTGACCTTTAAAGATTGTCTAATCAAATCCTTGCAATGGGGGAGCAGCCCCTTTCCACATACCTTTACATCAGTCTGCCCAAAACCCCAAGCAGCCTCCCCTTGAACACTCTCAATGGCGAACACCTTGGACACCTTCTGTGAGTTTTAATTAGAATTGTCTTCTGAGGTAAGAGAGAGTTCAGTTTTGCATGTCATCTGTAGCTACTGAGGAACATTTAATTTCTGAAAAAGGCAATAAATACATCTTAAGGGAGTTGTCACTAAGGATCATTCTGCCTGGGATCAAAACACAGAAAGTAGTGATGTACGTCTTGCTGTGTTTTCTCTCTCAGTAAACAAGTTTATGGAACGGGAAAGTGAGAGCAGAAGAAATTAAAGACTTTGAAATGAGGTTTAGTGATTGCAATGGACAAACCACAAAAATCTCTGTGGTACGCCAGAACTTTGTGCAGTAACAAGGATAGCATCTTCCACAAGCCAGAAAATACCCTGCGTCTCGGTGATCTCAACACTGGTAAGTGACGGTGATTTGCGTGCCCTCTGGCTAAGAACACTGAGCTCGGATGTGATGCTTGTGGAGAGGTGCCTAGACAATTAGCTCATGCCTCACAGGCAGGCACTTCTTGCCCTCCTTTGAAAAGAGCAACTCTGTCCTGTTCTTTCTCTCTTTGCAACTCCTGCCAGTACTTGCAAAGAAAAGTTGTAGGTATTACTTCTCCCTCATTCTAAAGAGACAGGCTTGCCACCTGCGAGCATAGAACAGCTGGCCAGGCTCTGACCAGTGTTACACATCTCCCATTGTCCCAACTTTTAGCACAGGCTGGATCCTGGCGATTCCCTTTCCCATGTGCAGGTGTTCTGAGACAGGTACATCGGTTCTGAATTTCTCTGTTGGAGAGGGGTACTGAGAAGCTGTTTCCCAGTGCTCCTACCTTGTTGAAATCTAAGTTTTTTAATGTATCTGACTCCAGACTGGTAGTGTCTCCCACACACTGTTCTCATTTTCCTTGAATAGATTTATATCATGTTAGGGCAAAGTTGTGGTTTAACCCCAGCCGACAACTAAGTACCACACAGCTGATCGCTCAATCCACCCTCAGTGGGATGGGGAGAGAACAAGAAAGGTTGAAGTGGGAAAACTCGTGGGTTGAGATAAAGACAGTTTAATAGTAAAGTAAAAGCTGCACATGCAAGTGAAACAAAGAATTAATTCACCACTTCCATAGGTAGGACATCTCCAGGAAAGCAGGGCTGTCACTTGTAATGGTTACTTGGGAAGACAAACACCATCATTCCAAACATCCCTCCCATTCCTTCTTCTTCTCACAGCTTTATATGTTGAGCATGATGTTGTATGGTATGCGATATCCCTTTGGTCAGTTGGGGTCAGCTGTCCTGGCTGTGTCCCCTCCCAGCTTCTTGTGCACCCCCAGCCTCCTTGCTAGTGGTGTGAGGAGTGGAAAAGGCTTTGACCCTGTGTAAGCATTGCTCAGTAGTAATGAAAGCATCCCTGTGTTATCAACACTGTTTTCAGTACAAATCCAAAACATCACCCCATACTAACTGTGGAAAAATTAACAAACCAGCACAAGTAACAGCTCTTCACATAGGTGGGATCTGTCCTCAGTAAAACAGGGAGTAGGCTTTTTGGTGTCATGTAGACACTTGAGTTCTTGTCAAAGAGTTACCCAGCTGGAAAAGGTCACCTCCCTTACTGGAGATAACTCCAGAGAAAAGTAGACCTGTGTTTGGGAATACGTTACAGACACACACCTATCCCCCTAGACAGGCACCAAAAAGACTTCTAGGATAATCTGGCAGTGGATCAGATCATGAGTGATTCACTGACAACAGAGCAGACATGAAGAGAGGGGGTCCAGCTGAATGTTTTCACTGTAAAAAACAGCCATAAAGGGTTACTGATTTTTTTTTTTTTTTTAAGCTCAATAAGGCAGAAAATAAAAATTGACCACTTATCACAGCCAGCTTCTTTCTGGCTCCACAGGAGGTGGAGACAAGCTCTGGTAATGATGGGAAGGTAGGAAATAGAATCATGGAATCATGGAATCATAGAATCATAGAATAGTTTGGGTTGGAATGGCCCCTTCTAAGAACTGAGAGGCAGCACTAAGGTCTTCCCAGAGTCTTCTGTTCTTCAGGCTGAATAACCCCAACTCTCTCAGGCTTTCAAAATAGCCTGGTGGAAGGAGCTGCCTGATCAGGGTGCCCAGTACTTTTGGCACAGGTAAGTGCCTTTAAGTTAACTCTGAGAGGTGGGGGTGGCTCCACCAAGTCTCAATTCAGGGTGATCTTCAAGCATGAGGTACATTCCAGTCTTCTGTCCAAGAATCTGGTTTCTTGTCCTTGTTTCCTGGCCTATTTTTGCATTTTATATTGACTTCTAATAGAATTAAATCTGAAATACTCCTTGGAACAGGGCCAGGAACTGGACTATAGGACTTCCAGCAAGTCAAGCTTTCCTGTGTGTTTGGATGAAGGTCCAGCCTCCCTCCTCATTGCATTCTCTGGAAGTTTGAAAGTGAGATTCCGGCAAATCACTGTTTGGATGCTCTCAGTGAGGCAGCAGCGGTGATGACTGCAGTGAACATAGGGTTTGAGCTCAGCTCATCCCTGCGTGCGGGCTTCTGAGCCCAGGGACACCAAACAGCAGCCTGCAGCCCTGGCCAGTCCTGGCAGCGCTTGGCACCCAGTCAGCCATGAGCTTCCACAGGAGATTGAAAGGCTGTAAGGAGCATGGTGACCAGGAGCTTAGTGCAACAGTTCGTGTCAGGAGGTCTCTGCAAGCTGCACAGTATCTCAGGGAAGTACTAAGTGCTCTAGGTCTCTGTTGTGGTGGTGTGCACTTGACTCAGAGCCAAAACCACCGTGTCTGCTGAAGCAGCCACTGAGAAGTCTGATGTTTCCACTCAGACACAAACGGTAAGGAAAGAGGTGTCAGTACAGGTGGTAGCCTGTGATGGATGCCCAGATAACTCTTCTGGAGGTAAAGCTAGTACCTGCACAAAATCTGCTCAAGTTGAGGGCTGTTGTGGCAGTTGGCAGAACTACAAGAGACAGTGGATAGGCTGCACAGTATTAGAAGGGCTGAAATAGAGAGAGATACATGGCTTCACAACCATGTACCTACAGAGGACACTGCTGAGTCTGAGGCACCTTGTACCCTAGTGACCTTCAAAAACAGGTCTCTGACTCAATGCCCGCCCTCCAACATCCAGACCAATAACAGGTACGATGCTTTGAAGGCTTTAGATATCCACAAGCAAGGCCCTCAATTAGAGCCTGCACCAGCAGTGCATGGTGGTTACCATAAGAAGAAACACTGAGCGATCATAATGGGCAAATTGCTGTTGAAGGGCACTAATGTGCCCATCCGCTGGCCTGATAGGGAGTTACAAGAGGTCTGCTGCTGACCAGGGGCAGGATCTGTGATGTTGCTGTGAGGGTTCCCCGACTTGTAAAGAGCATGGACTACAACCTGATGTTACTTTTTGACGTGAGTACAAATGACTCAGCAAGCCAAAAAATAGCTAGGATCAATGAAGACGATAAAGCCCTGGCAAGGCTGGTGAAAAATACTGGTGCCCAAATCATCTTCTCTATCCTACTGATTAGTGAAGTGGGGACAGCCAGAAGCAGACACATAGGGCAGATCAGTGACTTGCTTCATGGCTGGAGCTGTCGAGAAGGTTTTGGCTTCTATGGTAATAGTTTGTGCTTCAATGATTGTAGACTGATATGGAGGGATGGGATCCATCCGTCTAGAAGAGGCAAGAGAATCTTTGGGCACAATTTGGTGAGCAGGCTTTAAAATGAAGGACTCAGGGGTTGGGGTCCAGAGTGGCAATACTCATGCCAGTGCTTCGTACTGGGGAGTAGATCTTGCCAACCAGTGCAGTGAGAGATGTTCCTTGACTACCTCTCAATACAAGGAATGAAGGGCTAACCACACTGAGAGTGTTTATGGTTATGGTGAATCCTCTTACACACTTTCTAGGAAACCTGGTTGTGAAATTACCTCTCTCAAGCGCTTGTACACAAAGGTGCACAGAATGGGAAATAAACAGGATGAACTGGAAATCTAAGTGCGGTCACAGGGCCATGTTCTCACTGCAGTTACTGAGTCATTCAGCTCACATGACTGGAATGCTGTCTTGGCTGGCCATGTATGCTTAGAAAGGACAGGTTAGGGAGGTGAGTGGTGGAGCTGCTCTCTCGTGGTGGAGAGCAACTGGAATGCATCAAGCTCTACCCAGGGACAGATGAACGACTTGATAGTCTATGGGTGAGAATTAAGGGACATGCTAATAAGGGGGACACTGTTGGGTGTTCAGTATGGGCCAGCTGACCAGGAGGAGCAGGTTGATGAGGCCTTCCATGGGAGCTGGAAATGGCCTCAGAGTCCCAGGCCCTGGTTGTCCTGGGGAACCTGAACCACGCAGATGTCTGTTGGAGGGATAACATGGCCCAGCACAGGCAGCCCAGGAAGTTCCTGCAGATCGCTGAAGACAACTTTGTGATACAAGTGGTGGAGGAGCCAACGAGGATG